AAAATGGCTCAATCCCTTACCAGAGGGAAGGTTACTTTAAAAGTTTTGGAAGGACTGCTCCCAGGGTTTGGCGCCTCTAAAAAAAGTAATACACTCCCCCCCCCTCCCCCATCTATCGTCCATCTTGTCGATTCGCATGAAATCCTATCACCTCGACTAGCATTGACTCATTATTCTATGACTACGCTGCACGTCAGAAGACCATCAACATCTCAGGTGCTACTCGCCAACATCAGCACCTGACGATTCAGAACTAGATGCTTCCTACGAAGACGTGGAGGAGGTCGTCCGCAACGGGAAGTCCTTCTACAAGTTTGTTGTGGGCGACTTCAACGCGAAAATCGGGATGCCACTGGAAAAGGAATATAGGATCGGGAAGTTTGGATATGGGCTCCGGAACGAAAACGGCAACCGTCTCCTTGGACTGCTTTCCGCCGCACCACCTTTCCATGGAAATTCCATCTTCTTGAAGAAAGAATCGCCGGTGGACACGGAAATTGCCCAACGGAACGAATCACGCGGAGATCGGTCACACCCTCACCAACCGAAGGTGGAGCTTGCTCGATGTCTCAGTAGTTCCATCCTTCTGCAAAAATCCGATCATCGCCTCCTTCGAGCGAAGATACGATTCGGTCGAAAGCTGCAAAAGAAAATCTGTCACAGTGCGCGAGAAGGAAAGAAGTTTATGACGGTAACAGACTGGAAGAGCTCATATCAAATTGTGACTGGCCCTCGAGGAGGACCCAACGCACAACTACTGGGGCTTCTGAAAAGAATGCGAGCCTGCGGAGAGTTCGCCTCAGGGACCTCCGAGAAGAACTTGGGACGCATTTCGAAAACAACCAAGGAATTACTCAAAAGAAGAGGATCCCTGAGGCAAATCCGAGTGCAACCCATCTCGAGAGACTGTTAAGCAACGTCAGTTGCAGAACAGCTTTGCAGGATCTCGGGAAGTACAGGCAAGCCAAGATACTGGAAGCAGCCGAAGGAGGGCGAAGTCTTAAGAAGTGCCGAATAAACCTCTGCGAATATCATGTACCGCTGGCTGCAATGTTGAACGAAGACGGGACTCCGACTTCTTCCCGATATAAGATGGAATCTATCCCGAAGAATTTTTACACCAACCTTCTCCGCTCATCATCACCCGTGCCGGTGCCCGTACTTCCCAGGCTCCAGGACCAGATTATCTTTCCGTCAAACTTTTGCGAGCTGGAGGACACCGTCTACACGAGGTTCTCGCGTCGCATTTAACTACCTTCAGAAGGAGAGCATTCCCGGCCAGTGGGAACGTCAAGAACCGTCTTCCTCTTTAAGAAGGGCGAACGGGAGGATTTTCGAAACTACTCCAATATGCCTGCTGACTGTGCTCTACAAACTTTTCACGAAGTTTCTCCTCGCTCGCATATCTATTACATGGATGAGCCCAACCCCAAGAACAAGCATTCCGCAAGGGATTCAGTTGCATGAAACACATCCAGACGTTCTCAAGGGTCATTGAAGTCTGCCAGGAATACCGGCTGCCTTTCGTCCTAACCTTCGTCAACTACGAGGAAGCCTTCGACAGCTTCGAAACGAACGCCATTCTGTCAGCGTTAGTCAATCAAGGAGTAGACCCATCTTACGTGAGGACACTAGCTGACTGCTAAAGGACTGTACAACAACGATGCAGCTGTTCCATCGCCACCTGACCATTCCAATTGGGAAAGGGGTTCGACAAGACGACGCTATTTCGCCGAAGCTGTTCACGGCGGCCTTGCAGTGGGTGATGAAACACTGGACTGCGACGAAAGAGGCATACGAGTTAATGTAAAATTCTTGTCTAACCTTCGTTTTGCAAATGACATCATTCTCTTCTCGAGCAGTATCACTGGAGCAGAGACGATGCTGTAGGAACTGAACGAAGTGGGGAAGAAGATCGGATTGCGAATAAATGGGAAGAAGACTCAGTTCTGAGGACGCCCTTTGCGAAGATGCAGAAATGATTGGAGGGTAACCCTATTATGAAGATGTCTTCTTGCGTGTATCTCGAACGTTCGATGAACATGGAAGAACGAGTTGAGGGAAGGAATTAACATGAGAAGAAGAGCAGCCTGGACCGCCTTTGGGCCTCTGAAGGAAACCACCGACCAACTGACAGACCTGGAGCTGCGTGCCCACCTGTTCGACTCAACTGTTCTCCCGGCGCTCTATTACGCAGCTGAGACTTGGGCCGACACTGTAGCCACGGTTATGGACAACCCACACAGCGCTCGAGCGCATTCTGAAGATGACCCGACGCAAGCAACATCTAGTCGGACTTCGCAGTACGGATTTGAGAAAAATGTCCCGTCTTCGTGAGCCAGCGTAATACGTTGCGAAAGCGAAACACCAATGGGCCGGTCACATCGTGAGAAGAACAGATGACAGATGGACACTAAGAACATCTGAGTGGATTCCTCGCGAAGCCAAACGTCTCCGAGGAAGACCAGAAGACCACCGATGAGATGGGCAGACGTGTTCGTGGGAAGGATGGACCAGCTGAGAAATCAGCTGGATACGATTATAGCACCTGGAACTCGTGGAACCATGAAGATCGTGGATGTCTGAAGCGAGGGACAGGGATCAATAAAATCTTTTGTGCTGAGGCCCGCACGCCACGTGAACACAAGCCATAATTATCTAATTATGTAATATTTGGGTCTCTCGCTCGATTTCATGGCACATATGTGAACAAATGACTAAAAATATTATAAAAAATCATAGAGAACACCATCTCTTTATTTCTTTGAATCTCGTTTGCGTCGATTTCGCCTTTCCGATCCATATCAATCAGCTGTTCTTTCAGGTCAACGCGTCTATCACGAATAATATGCCCTCATACAGGCGCCGCTTACCTGTGCTTCCTGGCAATGCTGCCGCAAACTGCGAAACTTGGTCGCGTAGTCGAATGTTAGTGCGGCGGCGCTTAGCTCTGACGCATGCATGTTCGAACGCGCGTGATGCCAATGTTTTGTGGCTATATGCGATATCAAAATTTTATGTGCTAGTGAGCGGACTTGTGTTATACAGGGTGTATGGAAAGTAAGTGGCCTAAAGTACTTCCGGTTCGAATTTTGACGAGCTTTTTGTTCTATGCTCATCAGGCCCAGATACCATTATTTCAGTGACACCAGGTTTTCTTGTGGTTTTTTAGTTTTTTTTTAATCAAATTGAAACACATCAGTATAGCTCTCTAAACCACCTTCCTTGAAACACTTGTTACAAAGAAGAAAACGTAATTCACAGAAAACTTGATATAGCTTCTAAAAGCCTTTTCTTTGAGGTTTCTTACTTGTGCTTTTATTTTCTTAGAAGTAAGTTCGTTTTGAAATACCGTGCCTCGCAACAGAAGAGATCCAGCCTCAGGATTTTTTCGTCAACAAATCCAGCACTGAAACTTTTATATTTTATCTATAAAGCCTTCACAAGCGTGCAAAATTCTTGGAAATTAAGACAATGAATGACTGCTGCACTACAAATACTTGTTGGAATACGACTTCCAAAATTTTTTGAACCAGAATTTCAACGCAAATTTGTGCCGCGATTGTTTGCTGTAATTTAGCACATAAAAAAATTTTTCTTCGTGAAAAATAAATAGAAGAACTCAGATAAGGCACTCTTCCGCCTCTTCAAGGAAGCTGAAAAATTTGTTTGCCTTCAAATTTTTTGAGGTATGAGGCAAAAATTATTTTTCTTTGTTGACCCAGTGGTTTCTAGGTTTAGCGAACACATACAGCAAAAAATGAGTTAGGGTTCCAGTTGAAGTACTTAAGGCCAAACTTTTCGAACACCCTGTATATATGAGTTATCAGAACGTACGATTAATCCGCGAGTTCACACAGGAGTTGGCAACTTCTCGTGATGTGTGCCAATTGGTAGGCATCTAGATGCCGCCATGTAGGATACATTACTACCGGCCCAGAAGACATCCCTTCATAAGCCCGTAAAAAGGACCGTCATGTTGAAGGGCGCCCCATCCCGAAGGAAAACACCTCTCATATACTTTTATAAATACCGTTTGGCAACTAGGGATTACAGATTTGACCAGCATTTTAAGTGCATTACGATGATATATGCCTCATCTGGATTGGCCGAAGCGATTTGGAATCCTTTCCTTCTAAATAGCCTGGCTTCGGCCTTTGGCTGGCGTGACATACCAGTATCAATTATTGTCCCCGGGATCGGTATGTTAATGCAATACAGAAGCAAGACTTTCACTTCAACTTCCACAATCCGCATTGTGGAATTTGAAATTTGAAATCATGAACTCATTTGTAATTTGCTGAAAATTAGAAATCACCTGTGATACTTTGAATTCTCAAAACACAGTAAGTGTGAACAATCAGTGAGAGTCCGCCTAGCATCAAGCGTTTGGTTTTGAAACGAATAAATGTGAGCCCTACGGCACACACCTCGTCCAATCTTCACAATTATAGCAAATTCGAGGTTTCTTACAAGGGATGCCACTTAAACTAGTATCGCGTTTCAAGATGAGACACACATATTCGGAATTGCTTCGAACGTTGATTCCAAATATGCTGTTCATAGCTGCGGCGCATTATTCTGAAGGAAGTTATGAGCTTTTTTCTGTGCGCAAAATTGCCATACTTTTCCATATGATAGGGAGCTGCCTGTAGATGGAAATCTGCATAAAAAAGGTGCTGGGATTCTAAAATTACATCTGATTGATTTTGTAATCGGCAAGAGACTTTATGCAGTCAATTAGCATTTAGGTGATGACCTGCATCGCCCGTGGGGTTTTGCGTGGGGACCTACAGCGAGAACGGTTCCTCCGCAAGCAATAGCTGCGACCCAATGCAAGTGTCCGCCAAATACAGTATCTGGTTTGAAGAAGAATATTTCTGCCGATTGCACCATTTGCGCTGCCGGTTAACCAATACCTTAAGTAGACATCCGAAGGTTTACATTTACGATCCCTATATGCCCACATTTGCCTAGACGTTGCCTTTGAACATTAATTACACAGAAATCTTTATTATCTCTCGTAGTGGTCACAATCAACAATAACCTAAACAACAGGAAAAACATGCCTCAAAAGCAAAACAACGGCATCGAACAAGTACGTTCAGTAAACGACAGTGGTGTCAACGCAAGAAAAAACACCAGCTTCAACGCAAAACTCTGATCAGCCTGTACTCGGCGAAGTTCTTTCGTTTGATACGCACGCATTATGATCTCTGTTTCTCAATAACAAAAACTGAGATATATTACAAAGAGTAATACCGTACATAGGAGCTAAGTATCAGATGCATAGGTGTATGGTCTTGTAATAGAGCAGAACAGACCAGAACTCTGCGAACCAGCCTCTTACATTATGAACTGACCGCATAAAGTCATATCTAGGAATTGATCACAGCTCAGTGCATGAATACAATCAATCATTTGAGAAATGCAGCCTTAGTATAGACACATGTAAAGCACCCATCAGCATACACTGGTCTATAACAAGAAAGAGAACAATGTTTGACAAAACGAAGACAATTCTCGAGCAACTATCGCCGTCATATCTGCTAACATGTCCCCTCTCAAAAGAAGTCAAGCATGACAATAACGTAGAAGACATGGTTATCGTGCGGTGAAAGAAAGAATCTCAGAAAGACTTGCACAAAATCGAAATGGTTCTTCAAAACTGTCTGCTATACTCAATATAGCTCCAATCTACTCTGCTGAGGCAAAATAAACATGCGTTACTAGCGTCATGATGAGCGCTGAATTATCGCCATTGCTACGTCGCATTCTCATATTGTTAGAAGAAAATACACTGTCTTTCAAACATATGGGCGATTTCTTACTGCGCATTCAGAAAGAACGAGAATACAAAGGAACAGTAAACTGTTAAGCAAAGTGCGCGTTTCGTGGAGTAACGTAAGTGACCGTAGCGACATAGGACAAAGCGAGAGCAGGCCAGTAAAACAAACTACATAGACATAAAGAAAGGCAAAAGCTGCATAGCAATAGCAAAGCTAATTGTACCGAGGTCAAAGTCATCACTCAAAGCGCGCAAAACAGAACATGAACATTTCCCACCGACCCGACAATTCAAACTGATATCCCGTAACTGATATACGTTAACTGCAAACATTGTCGTGGAAAAGGTAATCAACAATCAACATTTCCAAAATCAGTACTGAATAGTAGTCGGATTGAAGTCCAAGTAAGGTTTCAGTTGGTGAAATTGAAACTTGCTGGTACAGCCGCGGCAGCGTCGAAGTTGTATCCACCAGCTTGTTCTACACGCTTTGACTCTTCGGATCTCACATGCTGTTCGCAGACCTACAAAGGAGGAAATCCTGCAACTGACAACAAAAAGCAAAAGAAAAACAAGCACCTTGACAAGATCTTGCAAAGATTCAGACGTCTCTGCACTAAGATTGCCAACCATTGCGGAAAAGAGGGTGGGCTCACGTTTTTCAAACTCTGCAATAAAGAAGTCAACAATAGCAACAACCGGAGCTTTACAATCGGACCAGACTAACATCCTGCATCAAAGGATTCCCTAGAAGGCGAGACGCGTGCTGATGATCAAGGCAAGTTTAACATATAATATGAGGGCTGCATAAGGCCCGAAACGAGTCAATTCCTAGAGTTTCTTGAAGCGAAGTCGCTTTTGATTCCACAAATATTTTACGGTCCCTTTTGACCCTTACGGCAAACCTGGCGACTTCTCGAGCAGTGACGAACCCCGTAATTCATTCGGGGGGGGGGGGGCAGGGCCTGCTCGGTACGCCACTTTTGTTGCGACATTCAAGTTAAAGGCAGCGTCCAGGCACTCAGATAATCACCAGGGGCAGGCGGCCATGCGATTTATGGGCGGACGGGCACCGGAAAAATAGTTCGCTGATTTGCATATATTTGGAAGAATTTTAGCGAAGTTCTAGATGAATGCTTGGAGAACAATCGCGGTTATCTTATAGACCACTGCGGCGCAGTGGCCGCATTCTCGCGCACTTTCCGCGAGAATATGCAAAATTTTCGAGGGTCGCACGGTCCTTTGTGGAGGACCGCGCAGCCCCCAGGTACTTTACCTCAAACTTGAGTAATTAAACCAATCATGACACCTCTGTCATGCAGAGTCTCATCTTTGCTCGGCGTACGCCCGTACCTGCTTAAAAACCGTCCGAGCGCCAGCTGAAAATTTGAGCAGCGCTCGCTGAAAGAGACTATTTGACGAGCGCCTGCAGAAAATTCTGTGTTGCTGCCCGCTGGCAGAACATGAGACAGTAAAGGAAGTACCGCTCGCTGAAGGTTTGGCCACGCCCCAGAATTCTGCTGACCGCTTGCAGAAAAGCGCGAGTTTGCGGACCGCCTGCCCCCGGCGATTTGGACCTATGGGGCTCTCACGTAGAATGTAATCTTGAGGCCCTAAATAAGACTTTGCCCAAGCGGCAGCTTAGATAGTGCACTCACGACTAAGATACTGGGCTCCAAACTATGCCCCGTGACCGTATTTGCATGGATTCGTGGCGCATTCGCGCGAGGATCCACGCGAAACTGATGTGCCGAGAAAAGACATTCCAAAAATGTCCACCTTTCTGAGCCTGTTTGTGATAGGCTTGAAAGTCCCAAATCATAAAATTTCGAATTCTTTCTACACTGTATAGATGAGTTTCTCTAAAAATTGTAGGCAAGACGTCCTAATCTCAAGCTTACAGAAATGAATGAAGCTTTGGCGATTGCCTGAATCATGGGAAATTTTTGACCCAGCAGCAAGTAATTATCTTGGGGGTTTCTCAGTCCAGATACTTTCGAAAAATCTACTTGAACATGCAATGCATAAACAATATTCATCCCCTACAGATGCTATGTTTTCGAAAAAAATCGTTCATTTTTGAATTCTGGACAAGGAAGTTAGAGCAACGAATCTTCGATTTTGAGTGCAGATGTGCGAGATGCTAATGAAATTCTCAGTAATGAGATAGAAGCTTAATTTTGAAAGGTACATGAAGAAAGCTATGCAATGATACGGAATCTGTACCGAAAAAGAAATTTTGAAGTTGTTCGGAAAGTAGGCCTAGAAAAAGGACATTACTTCTGCACCAACCTAATCACCACGTAATATATTCTGGAATCGTTGTTTACCCATTGACACCCCTGGTCCGTGGAACATGGCAAACGAGGAGGCTGTCGAGACGCAGACTAATTAGAGTCCGACAGTCCCCTCGCCGACTTGGGCGGTGCCACCAACTTCAGATGAGCTGGCACTCCCCGGGTGCTCGGTGGTCCCCTCCCCAATTATGTTCCCCACATTTACATTTATGTTATAACGATAAAAGAATCTAGTCAGAACTGTTATGCTAGTACAAAGGGAAGAAACTAAGGGTAGAGGGATCAAGTTAAGAGAATAGCTAACTCTTCAAACTTGACATGGAGGTCCCGGATTTTTCTGAACTTTTTGTCGCATAACTTTTCTTGCAAAAAAAATCTAAGCATAGATTAGGCCAATCTCTGCTGAATACTCCCACCACCGGCACCAGCCCTCATCTCCTACGTGAATTACGTAGCCCTTTTCATATTTACCTTTCTTTTCTCTTTTCCCTTGAGTCCAGGCGATGGGTCTGAGTGTGTTTTCCTTATTTGTCATTTTTGTGTCATAGTGGGTAATGAATATAATCATGTATTCTTTACCTACTGTGTATTTGACAGCCCTTTTTTTGTTTCATAGCAGATAATGAATATATTGCTATGTATATATATATATATCAGTGGCGTACCGAGGGGGGGGGCGGGGGGGGCGCGCGCCCCCCCCGAGAACGGGTCGCGAAATTTTTGAAAGTTACTTACATGGGTTATAAAAATGTGCAAGTGACTTGTTTTTACTTGTAAATAATTAAAATAATTTTTAAAATTTTTTAAAAATTCATTTTAGCCTTATAAAAAAAATTTTTTCGGGGGCGTGGCTGACGCCACGCCCCCTTTTTCCAGATTTTAGGGGTCGGGGACCCGGAAAAATTTTGAGAAGCACCCCAAAAATTTTTTCGGAGTGCGTGGCTAACGCCACGCACCTTTTTTAGAAAAAAATTTTTGTCGCGCCCCCCCCGAGCCGAAATCCTGGGTACGCCACTGATATATATATATATATATATATATATATATATATATATGGTATGTGATATTCTTTGTCTGCTGTGATTCCTTACAGTTTTTACCGTGATACCACGTGAAGAACCGTAAATATTTACTCTTTCTTCCTCTAGCCCCCTTTCCCCACCCTATTTATTTAGAAACAAATCTAAAACTTTTCATTTTTTCAAAACAAATTTTATTTTGTAATCCACATTTTCTCTTTCATAATCTATTATCTTTCCAAAACATGTAAAATTTATTTTCACAACCATTTTTCACCATATTTCGCCTACAACTTTACACATTATTTTCAGTCATTTATTTTCTTCTTTCTCACTTTCCATCGTTAATTTTTTACACAAACTCAGGGACTCTATCGCCAACGCCGGCACTGTACATATGTATAAAAAATTTTTATAATTGTGTTTAATTACCATAGCCGTTTTGTATTTGCCGCAAGTTCCACAGGCGATCTAGACGCCTGTGGATAGTCCGTAGGCTATGTCGCCTATGGTGATTCCATAGGCTATGTGATAGCCCATGAGGTTACCAGAGGCCCTTTTCCCAGCCATGCCGATTGAGAACGTCATTATCTAATCTTGAGTGGCATATAGACGCCAGGAGCGTCCTAAGCTTGGCGAAATTTGTTTCAAGCAGTAATACAATACTGCCTAGTTGTGCTTAGATCAGCTTCGCCTAATTATTTATTTGTAAAAAGGTTATGCAGCTCTGGACTAGATGATTCTCGACTACCGAAGCGAGTTGGATATTTACTGATCATCTTTATCCAACTTCGTCACAGAGGTATTGATTTATCAGCTTTCAGTGTTCTATCATTATACTGTATTCATAACACTTTTGTACAATTTTGTATTGAACATTGTGCTACTCCAACCGAAAACAAAAAAAAAATCATTCATTTTATGTTTGCAAAACAGATTTCAGGAAAAGGTTCCAGCTTTATTTCAGACGTTCAGAGCGTTTGAGACAAAGAGTGGAATGATTCTCGCTAGAGAACATAACGTGTCATTAGCAATACTAATCATCTTTTCTCTTTACGCAGCAGCTAGTGACACTTGTAAGTTTGCCCGCAAGCAACCGCACATGAAAAGAAAGAATTCTCTGATTGGCGGCTCGGAGAAGGCTTTCAGTAAATCACTTTCCACCCACTCCCTTGTAATCAACGTTAGGGAAGTGTTCCCTCCTGAGTTGCTTGCAGGTTAAAAAAATGTCAATATGCTGTGAAATTACATGTCCATATCATAGCTTACCATGCTCTGTAACGGCAAATGGTCGGAATATACATTCCGTTCCTTCGCCGTCTTCGAACATAATTCATTTTGCTATTTTGCTATTCATTTTGCTAGCTCTATTTATGTATTATTCCATGCGTATTCCATGCTCGTAATTTCATTTTCTACAACACTGCTCATTATTTCTTTACGAATGTCATCATATTCCCGTATGTCACATTTCGTCACCAGAGCGGCCTTTATCCGCTTCTCTTATACCCTATGTCATATTTTACCACCATGCAAAAGTCTTTATCCGCCTCCCCAAATGACTACGGAAGCCCTTCATCCGTTCCCCAATTGCTCATCGTTCAAACTTCATGTTGCTTCATTTATCCTTAGCTCGAGACGAGCTCATTCTTCTGACGGGGCGTGCGAAAACGTGCCTTCTCATCCCTTTCCCCCTGTCCTTGTGAAGAAAAATCCAGCGACTAACGCCTGAAGCAACTCTCCCTCAACCAAAGCAGCAAATGGCATATGGGCAACGTCCAAATCAATGATGATATCTCAACTGTACATATGGGCAACGTTCAATCAAATCAATCGATGACACCTCAAATGTATGGGCAACGTCAAACGAATCCGATGATGACAACTAAATTACCATGGCAGACTTCAAAAGCTCGAGGACGAGCTTTACCATGGAACGGACATGTCGAGACGCAGACTAATTAGAGTTCGACAGTCCCCTCGCCGACTTGGGCGGTGCCACCAACTTCAGATGAGCTGGCACTCCCCGGGTGCTCGGTGGTCCCCTCCCCAATTATGTTCCCCACATTTACATTTATGTTATAACGATAAAAGAATCTAGTCAAGAACTGTTATGTTAGTACAAAGGGAAGAAACTAAGGGTAGAGGGATCAAGTTAAGAGAATAGCTAACTCTTCAAACTTGACAAGGCCGCAGACGGAGAAATTATGATGAAATACACTGATCTTTGGATTTGGATTGCTGCCAATAGCGGTGAGTTGAAGTCAGTCAAATGGCACGATGCCAGATTTTCGTAAGCATTTGGAACGGTGCCAAATTTCGTAAGTATGTCAACTGAAACGACACACATGC